AAGAAAAAGAAGCAGTAAGATTTTTGGGAATCTGAATAGAGCAAAAATTTAGCAAAAAATAGACAATAGCTAAAGCCAAACAAGTAGTATGACTCTTTGCTAATACAATTAGAAAGAAAGTAGTCTCTATGAGCCAAGTACTATATATAAACAATGTTTGCCTAATACCAAAGTTAGAATATATGCTGCAAAACATCTATCTAACTAAGGATAAATGTAAAAAGATCTAGCAACTATATGTAATGACTACTAAGAACAAGATAGGTCTTGCAAGAACAGCTCCAAACTTTATAATATCACATAGTGGGATGCTTAATATGCAAATACTATAGAATATATTGAAAACTAAATAAACACTAAGTCTCATAAACAGACTAAACAAGAATTGTAAAGTCAGAAGTATAACAGAAGTAAGAATCATGCAGAGATAGCAAATTACCTGTTATACAAATAGTATCTGAACAGAAAAGCTAGAAGATGATGAGAGAAAACTACTCAAAAACAATTTAGCTAGTTTAGTTATTTAGAACAATCTAAATTTAGGTCTAGAAATATTAACTAACAAGAAGGAGTGGGTAGTTAAACCTAATGGAATACCAATTAAAAGTCTAATAGAAAAGAAAACTTTTATTAGGATAGCTAAGATACTTTGTGACCTCAATATATTTTTGTTAGAACAAATCTTAGACCTAGAAGGATCTTATCTAATAATATGGCAGCAACTCAAAATAGCTAAAAAGAAATCTAAGAAAGGTAAAAAGGCTATATAGTTCAAAGAAATTGAAGAGCGAGTACTAATATATAAAGAAAAGAAATAAATAAAATATGAATTTAAGACAGGTATAAAAAATACTTTATATTTACAAAACTCACTCGAAGAAATTTCTCTAGACAAAAGAAAATATAAATGAGTAGTTTATGAAGATAGTCTTAGCAAAATCAAAAAGATAGGGAAAGTGCAAAGGAAAAAAGAAGATAGTATACTTTTAGAGTACTAGAAAAACATTGTTTTCTCTTAGTATTCTTTCCAATCTAGTTGTAAAGACTTTATTTAGTTTTAAGACTTTGTATTTTTTTTCTAAATTCTCTGTAGGTTTTCTTTTTTGCCTATGAATTTTCTAGCTATAAACTTATGCATTGCTTTTCTATTAGTTGTCATATGATATATCTTGTTAGTATTTGTTGATACATTTGTTTGTTTTCTTGTTTTCCATATATTTGTATTACATAAGCTAATCTGTAATTCAAGATAAGATCAAATACTTAATTTTTCAAAAAAAGTTTTTTATAGTAATTTTTAGAGTAAAAACCTTCTATTATGCTTTAGATTGCTACTATTTTCCTTATTCTTTCTAATATACTATCTGTGTTTTTGTATTTATTTTTTTTTCTTTAATAGCTTTTTAGCTAGTTTTTAGTAATAGTTTTAAAAAAAAATCTAATTTTTCTTTAGCTTCAAAAATAAGCAAAATAATCTATGAGAAGATTGAAACCTTATATTATTAATATTTTATTAAATTATATTAATATTTATAAATACTTTCTAAAAAATCCAAACAAATTTGCCTAGAAAACGGTTTAAAGAATAATATTTTTAATTTTCTGTTATTATTATTAATAAATTTAAAAATAACATCACAAAAGGCTTATATATCCAAATTCCAAATCTATTAACACTCTATATATATAATTTTAAATTCTATTAAACAAATAAGAACTTGAGCCGAAAAAATGACGAAAGTTTATATTAACATACTCTCTTATAAAACATTATTCAGTTTTATTCATAGAATTTTAAGTTTGATAATAACTGCCATTGTCAATAATTATGAAATAAATGCTGGTATGTTCGGTAATGAGTTTGTTGAATGGAGTATGTGACAACTACATAGGAATTTAAAGTCCAAAACTTTCATAAACTGAATTACTGTAATTATGAAATAAATGAATGTACCGGAACGATAAATAAAAAAAAAAGTTAGTATTATTTATATCATTGGAAAGTGATTTTATAATACAGAACAAGCGAAATTTTGCAAACATAGATAATTCAACTCGCCTCATAAACCAGCGAGACGCTATCAACACTGCGACAAAAAGCAAAATTATGGCATGCATTTTATTAATATTAAAGGAATAACTATTGCTTTTTGCTATGGAGACATGAGCAGGTTTTCTTTCTAGTGGAGGTAATAAGAGAATTTTGTTTGCTTCAGAGTAATTAACGATATCATCGGATTTCAAACTCAGCCAATGTAGATCGTATAAATTTATGCTTGACCTAAAAGAATTATTATGATTAATAAAATGTGATCTATAGTTAAAATGAACTTATTAGAAAATAACAAATATTTACGTCTTTTCAAGCGATAAACCAGAAATTAGCTGAAGTTCATAGGGTGGATATCTTCGATAAAGTTCAATTGTCCGAGAAATCAGTTCATCAATTTCAATGTCTTGTGGAAATTTTGATAAAAATCCGTGAATAATTGCGCTATCACATTCTAATAAGAGCAATTCTTTACGACGGCTAATAACCACCTTATAATATATCAAAAA